AAATATTGAAAAACCTACTGTTTAATTAAAAAACTATTGTAATAAATACCATTACACAATACAAGAAGTATGTATTTCGCAAATACTTGGTAGTTGATGATAACTGATAACTTACTGGATGTTTCAATTTTCCAGAGTCGATGTTCGCCCCTCACAGAACTTCAGGGTATGCAGCTGCATACCCTGCATACCCCCTGCGCACGCCTCGAGTATTACTCGAGTAGCCATGTTTTTAGATTCCAAGTGGAACGAAGTATATAATATTGTTTTAAAATAACTATATAATATTATATATAATTACGCGTGTGTGATTTTTTATTTTCGTCAAGTTTTTATATAGAAGGCAAATTGTTTCATTTTTAAAATATTTTTTTGGTGACTTATTGTTGAAAATTTGATATATTTGTATAGTTGTTAGGTTAGACTGGTTAGAGAATGGGGTGATGGGTTAAAAGCAGAAAATTCATATTAGGATTTTTCCTCTTATGGTCTTAGTTATTATGCTCAGACCCAAAAATTATCAACCATAAGGCTTGAAACTTTTTTTTGACCTCCCTAATGCATAAACTAGTTTCATTTTCGAACCAGAAAAGCTACTGAAGTTGAAAATCGAAGCATTATTTTGACAACTTATCGTGTACACACGCACGAAAAAAATGTATATATTATAAAAAACACATAATTGTAAAATCAATATCGCTCCGCTCATAATCTAAAAATCGTATACACGAAATTTTCACTAAATAGTTATATTTGCGATTTCCATATATGGTAATATACTAATATGGTATATATTTTTTACTTTTTTGAACTATTTAAATCAAAACTTTAACGCAAAGGTCCTCATAAGATGCTATTATAGTTGATCAAAAATATTAAAGAAATATGGGTACGTTTTTTTTATATGCATTTAAAGTTCAAATTTTGTCAAAATTCACCAAAATTTTAAAAAACTTTTGAATTCGAAATTCAGAAAAGGCTTTCTTTGCATAGGTAACATACCTACGAAATATTAATAGAAGATTCCTTAAAAATTTATTTTTATTTTTAATTATAGATAGGTAAGAAACTACTCTATATTATTTATATTATTTTTATAGAAGCCAAAGAATATCATGATAAGGTCGTAAAGCACGTAAGTTAGGTGAAAGTTGCAACAACTGTTTTGTAGGATTATGAAACTCTTGAAGAGACAGAGAAGCAAAAACAAAAAAATTAATTCTAACAAAAAACAATTAATGACAACTGATAATGTCTGATATAATAATATTTGTAAAAATAGTAAATACGTACAGAACGACAGAAAATGAATACAACTAAATACAACCACGATATCTGAACAACTAATTTATGTAAAATAAAAGATCAATATTATTTGATTCAAAAATTGGCAGGAAATAATGTTCGTAGTTCATTCGCATCGAGTGATTTGCGATTAATCGTCTAGTGTGAATCCCAAATCAATGACGAT